TCATTTGGTCCAGTCTCTGTCCCTTTCTGTCTAAGCTGGAATATTTCTGTTGTTATAACATCTTTAAAAACTTTGGGGCCTCCCTGTATGTTAGATGATCCATTATTATTAAAAAAGTGGGTTCTGCCAAAACCGGTTTGGCTCCGTGGATAGAGTGTCCGCCTGTGGACTGAAGGGTCCCAGGTTAGATTCCGGTCAAGGGCATGTACCTTGGTTGCGGGCACATACCCAGTGGGGGGCGTGCAGGAGGCAGCTGGTCGATGTTTCTCTCTCATCGATGTCTCTAGCTCTTTATCCCTCTCCCTTCCTCTCTGTAAAAAACTCAATAAAATATATTTTAAAAAGTGGGTTCTCCCTAGATGTTTTCTTATAGCCCCATTTCATATGTACAACATAGTGGTTAAATTTTACATAAAGTTTTCCCTGATGTTCCAAATACCCAGCTGGAACCATGCATAAAAATAATGCTTCACACATTTGCGTGTCATACAGAGGACATGCTGATCTCTGTGTCATTGCAATTTTAGTATATATGCTGCCAGAGAGCATGCCTTTATGGATTTTTATGAGAAGACAGCTGTAATTCTTATCCTTTTTTGTTGTTGTTGTTGTTACAGGTAAGATTTTTTTTTTCAAGATTTTTTCTGTCTCTTGTCTTCTGCAATTTGAATGTTATATCTCAGTATTTGTATTTATCCTGCTTGATGTTCTGCTTCCTATATATGTGGCTTGTTCCTTGTCATAAACTTTAGAGAATTCCCAGTTACCATTACTTCATAGTTTTTCTGCTCCATTCTCTTCTACCCCTCCTGGTATTTCAATTACACATTTGATACACCAGTTGAAAGTGCCCCAAAATTCTTGGATGTGCTGTTCTTTTTTCCCCCATTCCATCTTGTCTTTTCATATTAGTTTGTAAAGTTCCTATTAACCTATCTAAGCTTGCTGATTCTTTCCTCAGCCATCTGTCTACTACTGATGAGCCCATGAAAGGCATGCTTTATTTAGGTTACAGTGTTTTTTATTCTAGCATTTATTTTTTACTCTTAAGAGTTTCCATCTTTCTGCTTACATTACCATCTGTTCTTGCATGTTTTATACTTTTCCATTAGATATTTTAACATATTAATCATACTTAAGAGAATTCTGACATCCTGGTCTTGGTTGAGCCTGGTTCTAATGATTTGTTTCTTCAGTGACTTTTTTTCCTAGCATGCCTTATAATTTTTTGTTGAAAGCTATGATGTAACAAGTAGTAAGACGGAGGCAAACAGAGCCTGAAATGTTCTATTGGTCTGGCTAACACTGGGACAGTTTTTAATGTCTGGCAGGTACCAGAGGCCTCTAACTCCTCTAGCTTTTGTCTCCCCTGTTGACTTTTGAACTCAAGTGCTCCTTCTCCTCAGAGTGCTGCAACCCACTGCGACACCGGAGTCCAGTTGGTGTGTGGTCAAGGGTGGGGGAGAGGAAACATATCTACTACCACAGCATAATCTAGCATAATCCGAAAGTCTCTTCAAACTAGCTGCCGGCTTCTTTTGATATACCCCCTCCATTTTTTTTTAGCACTTCCTCTTTTCTGCTAACACCCAATATCTTCTTCTCCCCAGCCCCAGAAACCAGCCATTTCTCCAAAGATCCCTGGTTCCTTTCAGTAGGGAATGGTATTAGTGCCAGATGTACTCACTGCTATTAGGGTAGTTTGAGTCTGGACCTGTCATATCAAATTTGGTAGCTATTATGCACCTGTGGCTATTTAAATCAAAATTTAAAAAAATTAAAAATCCATTCTTAATTTTTCTTAGTTGTACTAGTCACATTTCATGTGCTCAATAATGACATGTATTTAATAGCTACCATATAAGACAGCACCAATATTTATAGAACATTTCTAGCATTACAGAAAGTTCTATTGGGCATTATTGTTCTGGACTCCTTCACAAGGCAAATTTAGGTAATACAAGCACATAAACACACATACTCATAAATCTCACTCTCCATTACCTTTTAAATATCTTATGTCCCACTACATTAATTCTTTCTCATATTAAACAATTACTTGTTGAGCATATACTATTGGGTTCAGTAGGTCCTTGGGTTACATCGGAGATATGTTCCTATAGTGTGACATAACTCGATTTTCACCATAAGTCAGAATCCACCTACATCACTCACATGGAGCACATACACAGCAGTAATGAAGTGAAACAGTAAAAAAATGTCAAAAGAAAGATAATTCCTGACCAAATAATAATTACTTGTGGTAAATAAATAACAAACATAAAGCACATATGTACATACGTCAAAATGACAGAACTTTTTTTTCTTATAAATAAATGGGAGATGGCAATGTAACTACAAAACAATGTACGTCAAGCCCAACATAACCTGAGGACTGTCTGTAGTTACTGTTCAAGACCCTGTAGATTTAGAAATGTACATCCCTTTCCTCTAAAACACTAAGTGTTAATGAAAAGATAAAAATAAATGATTATAATAAAAGAATATATATATATATATATATATATATATATATATATATATATATATATATATATAAAAGCCTAAGTGACTGAACAACCAAATGACCAACCAGTTGCTCTAACATGCACTACCACCAGGGGGCTGGTGCTCAATGCAAGAGCTGCCCCTGGTGGTCAGTGCACTCCCACAGTAGGAGCACTGCTCAGCTGACCGGTGGGTACCAGGCGCAGGGCTCACAGCTGGCTGCTGCACCCCGGAGACCGCAGGGAGTGGCAGTGAGCCTACCCAGTGGCAGCAGCCACTGGCACAGTGGGTGCGGGATGAGTAGGAGTGGCGCGGTGCCCGGCCTGGGCTCGGGCTCCTCCCCAGCCACCCGCCGCTTCACGTGCTACTACATATCCTGAGGGACCCCAGATTGCGAGAGGGTGCAGGCCAGGCTAAGTGCCTCCACCTGTGCATGAATCCGTGCACCGGGCCTCTAGTGTATTAAAATAATACAGGGTGTTACGTCAATATATGCCCCATAGTGTGAGCGTCAAGGAAGGCTTCCTGAGAGAAATTATAGTTATTATGTTTAGAAAGGTAAATGAATATTAACCTGGCAATTTTAGGATAATTTTTGGGTGTGGGCATCTGCTATTTTATTTTCCATCAGTATTTTTCATCTCTGTTTCAATTACTCACTTAAAAATGCTTTATTTCCCCTATACCTTGTCAAAATTCTGTTTATCTTTGCCAATCTTTTATGATGCATTTCTGAGTACCTTTGACCAGACAAAGCCCAACCCAAACATATACTGTCTTTACTGATTTCTAGTACACAAAAGATTTTGTTTATTTTTGTTGTTATTAATGTAATGGGTAAGAACATAATCTTGAAATCAGACTTATTGCTTACTAGCTGTGTGACCTTGGGCAAGCTACTTAATCTCCCTAAAACTCAATTTCTGCATGTAAAGGAGGGATTAAAAATAACCCATAGTTAAATGTTTGAGGATTAAATAAAACAATGTATTGAAAATTCTTAGCACTGTGATTGGAATACACAAATTACATAATCTACTTGTAATAATAATCTTATACTTGTTTCTTTTTTTGCTAGAAGTTTTAAATTTGTTCACTCCTTTCTTATCCAATCTTTACATTACCAAGACACACATACACACATACATATTTTAATAACATCTAGCAAATCCCCTAAATTATTCAGATTCTTTCCAGTCCATATATTGTGGCATATTCACATAATATATTGTAGATAGACAATTCTATTTGTAACTACAAAATCAATTTCAAAAATGCTATTTGCTTATAGCAACTTTAAATAAAAAACATTAAATGACTTCATATATAAGATCATTAAATAAAAATATATTACCATTTGTAAATTTTGAAATAAAACAAATATTTTCAAATTGGTGGAGCATACTAATAAAAAATGGTAAAAATCAATCTATTAATAAAAACCAATTTGTCAGAATCCACATTCCTATTTATAATTGGAGCCTACAAAGGCATATTTATAATTAGTTACTAACTAATGAAACAAAGCATCTTGATTTTTATACAAATATATTTTGAACACTTAATGCAGTCATTAGAAATAATATTAAGTGACAGCATCAAGGTGAATTTCTTTCCTTTGACATACTCTTTTAAAATATAATGGGGAAAAAAGCATGTCATATACGAACTAGAGATACTTTCTTTTGCCCTTCATCAGTTTAGATATGCATTGAAAGACATATCACTAACATTTTGCTAACAAATGAAAACTATGTTTTTCAAAATGAATGCTTTTAAAAAATATATTTTATAATTTTTAGAAAGAGGGTAAGAGAGAAGGAAAGAAAGAGAAACATCAATATGAGAGCGAGACATCAACTGCTGCCTTCTGAACACGCCCAACAGGGGATGGAGCCCTGACCGGGAATTGAGCCCACAAGCCTTTGATGCATGGAACGACGCCAAGCAACTGAGCCACAAAGGCCAGATGTTTTCAATGAAGTATATTTTATTTGAAAAAAGTGTATGCATGGACAGAAAAATTTCACTGTTTACAGTCAGTCTAGAAAAAGGAAATGGAATGCCACCAGGGTTAACAATTACCAAACCTAAATAGACAGCGATGCCATTTAATCCAAAATAACTGACAGCTGTGAAGATTTTATTTTTCTTTACTAAGAAAAGACAAATATGCAGTACACTTGGGTTTCCCTTAATACCCTTACCAGTAAAATTTAAAAAATAATCTTGATATGAAATTTTCCTTCAAATTCGTTTTAGTAGTGAATTTTTAAAAATGGGGATGTGAAAACTTTCAAAATACACTGCTATGTTTAAAAATTATTAAATCCCACTAACATACTGTTAATACCTATTAGGTCACTTACAAACTATATATTTAAAACTTTCTAGATATAATTATCTAAATAACAGTGCACAATCCGTATCTCTTGTACATGAAATACATTGATGGTAAAACCTTTGTCCATGTTTCCTAAAAGAAAACTTACCTGTGAAGTCCAACACAAAGTAGGGCTCAATCTGTAGAGTTTTCTTTTGTGGAAACTCTGAAGTGGCCTGGTTCGAGCTGCTGTACTCATGACACTCAAGGATGGAGATTTCAATCTTGTCCTGTCTTTTCGCCTTTTCTTACTGTGCTTCTGGTTAAGTAACCAGCTACTCGAGGAAGAGAGCTCATCTAAATTCTCTGAAGTACTGAAATGCCATGAAATAATTGGGGAATGGAGGGAATAAAACAAAACAAACGAACGAACAAACAAACAAAGACAAAGAAAACTAAATGTAAATTGCCTTAATCTATTATGACAGAAGAGTATTAATTTTAGCCAACTTTGTGGTAACAATTGGTGAAAGAATCTATATGAATGGGGAATTACATATTCAAGTTTGGAAATAATTTCTACTTCTATTTTCTCCTGAAAAACAAACATCCCCTAGGTCAGAAATGCTCACATGGGTTCACGGGCACTTCATGTATGTTACATAGTGTTGTAACTATTTAAATGTAATGGTTTTGCATGTGGGTGAAATTGCATAGGATTGTAAGTTTTAAATAGCGCTCTTCTCATCACTGCATTAGTTGCTCTTAAGCACTACATACAATTTCAGTGAATTTTTACACAAAAATGCAATCCTATATTTAGGAATTTTTTAAACTTCTGATGATACAGAAGTCATAACTATAATGAAACAGATCACACAAAGTATATTTAAAAAGCATATTAATTTTATTATTCTTCATATTAAATTTTAAGCATTATAAATATTTTAAAGCTCAGAACCTCAGGAAGTTAATATCATGCAAATTTAACTTCCTTTATAGCAATATATATATATATATATATATATATATTGCTTCCTTTATAGCAATATATATATATATATTGCTTCCTTTATAGCAATATATATATATATATATATATATATATATATATACATACATAAAATAACTAAGCTTTTCAGGTACTACAACATACCAATTTCAACCTTACTGATATAAACAGAAGCTAGTCAATTTAATATTCTAAAATCAACAGGTGAATCTGCTATATATAAGTTCTAATCAATATCTAAGTTCTAAATATGGTATTTGGTTCAAACAGAATCAATATTTAATGGTAAATGTAAGATATGGTTTCCCTATAGCAATATCACTGGTTTTAAATCAAATTTCTGGTTACCTTAAAATATTCTATTAGCTTGTAGATAAAATATTCTATTAGCTTGTAGAAGAAATGACTGACACAGAAATAAGAAACCAAAAACAAAGGTACCTAAATGGCTTATGTTGGTGAAACCAAAGAAAATAACTAAATATGAATTTAGCAACTATCATACATTCAACAAATACATAATTGATTATGCACTATTGGTCAGGCTAGTATAGGAAAAAGAGCCTATGATAACTATTTCATTTCAAAAGTATTAACTTGCGTATGCAGAGAGCTCTAGTCAATAATGTTTTAAGTCCCAGTTTATAACCACTCTAAAGTTCTGAGAAAGATAACATATAATGCTACTCTCAAATGAATAGGTTCAATATATCCTGGTGTTACTTTATGTGAAATACATGTCTTACTAAGGAAAATTTTAAGTGCGTCACTGCTAAGTAACAGTTTGCTTTTGAGAGACCACCTATGGAACTGGGCTATCATGTCAAGGGGAACCAGAAGGTGTAACTATAGCCTTCTATCAGGTTAGGCAGTGGGCAGGGCAGGAGGCTGGCACAGGAGTAAGTCAAGGTCAGGAAGAAGAGAGGTTTCAGCCGGTAGTTGGTATCAGAGGTGATCAAGTCATAGAGCCAGGATCCAGGAAGGTGGGCATAGATCCAACACTAAAAAAGATTCTTTGTCCAGCAAGTGGGTAACAACTTCGGGAAGATTATACGGACACTTGAAATAGCAAAGAGCTCTTATTCTAGGAGCCTGAAGCATAGTTCACTAACTCTCCTGTTTACAACTCCTTCATTGTTACAGATGAGCCTTGGTTTCCCCCTTGCCACCGGAGGCTTAGTCCTAAAGGTGAGCCACCAACTCCTCTTTGAGTGACAGCATAAGCTTTTGCATTGGCTAGAGGTTCACTAGCTGATTTAAAGAAAAGCTTGTCATTTGGGTCACAAAATGCTAACATTATCACAGGAAAAATAGTTTAGTTTTATTTTTTTCTTGATTTAAGTATATTCCAAGCTGCAGACAATTCATTCTTATATGACATTAACACTTTCTAACTATTAATGATCCTCATAAAGTGTCATAAAAAATGGCCAACTGATATATAAAAAGATGTTTGACTTTACTAGCTATCAGAGAAATGCAAAAATTAAAACCACAATGATATATCACCTCACCTCTGTTACAATGGCCATTATCAACAAGACAAGAAATAACAAGTACTGGAGAGATGGCAAAGAAAAATGAATCCTCATACATAGCTGACGGGAATGTAAACTGGTACAGCCACTATGGAAAACAATATGGAGGTATCTCAAAAAAATAAGAACAGAGCTACCACATGACGCAGCAAGCTTTCTTTTGGATACCTATCCGAAATTTTGAAAAAATTGGTTCATAAAGATATGTGTACTCCTATCTTTAATGCAGCATTACTCACGGTGGCCAAGACATGGAAATAACCAAAGTGTTCTTCAGTGGATGATTGTATTAAGATGTGGTACATGTATACAATGGAATACCACTCAGCCATTAGAAAAAGTGATATTCGTGGAAGAATAGGCCTTCCTTCCTTATAGGTCCGGCCACCTGGGAGCCAGCAAGTCCTTGCTTCTGTATGAAGCACCGCTCCAGCAGCTCCCTCTCCCACCCCCCTTCCCATCATAGCAGACATCACGCCCCTCCTGGCTACTCCAGTGTCTGCATATGCAAATTAACCTCCATCTTTGTTGGGTTAATTTGCATATTCACTGTGATTGGCTGTGGGCATAGCGGAGTGATGGTTAATTTGCATGTTTCTCTTTTATTAGATAAGATTCCCTATATACATTTATTTAAACATTAGGTTTTAGACTTATATTAATAGAGGTAAAAAGAGAAAGCAATTTTTTTCCTACGGCTATTACTTTAAAAATACAGCAGGGAATGTTTTGTTTTCTTACTGATGTTCTGCACATCTCTAATACAATCACTAATGTTATTAATAGTCACCTAAAATTATGTTGAAAATTTCAATCTGGAATGGGATGCTAATAAATGATGTTTTATCATAATTGAGAAGTGACTATAAAATATTATGAGGGTAAAATAATTACTTTATATGTGATTAGTTTGCCAGTTTAACTGCAGTTTTTCAGTTAGGATACCCAATTAGAAAGAATGGCTGCATTTCGTGCCATAATTGCCATTAGTGGAAATAAATAGCATGGCAGTGATTCACTGAAATTTAATTTCATATCATATTCTGGGATTCATTAAAGCAAAACAAACAGCAGCAACAATAAAAATCTAGACATTATTTCAAGTAGAAATTCACTTTCTCAGAGATAATACTCCTTGGGGTAAACAAGGATCCATTTACAACATTTTATCATTTTTTGGAGTATGAGATCTAAAAACCAATAACTATTTCTCTGATGGTAAAATGTAATGCTTCATTTGTTTGAAGACTCAATGTTTTCAGTTGCTCAGTCCCTGGTGACTCACTTCAGACCCTGCTGCCAAGACTAACAAAGCCAAAAACAAAAATCTGACTTTTGGCAGACACCGCCAGTGAATAAGAGCTGGGAGCTGGGAATCAATGAATAACAAGTGGACAAATAGGTGCCCTGGAAAATAATTAACCAAGAGACTTTGCTGTAGACATTGCTATTCATTGATTCCCAGCTCCCAGCTCTCATTTAGTAGGATATTTAACCCTTTGCACTCTGCTGTCCCCTCTCAGGGGACATCGGAATTCTAGCATATCACTCGGATGTCCCCTCTCAGGGGACATTGCAGTTTATTAGTGATTACGGGGAATTGAGTTAATTCAACGCACGTTTCCGCCGCAAAGTAGCATCGAGTAGCTGGTAGCCAATGTCCAGAATGGTTCGGAGTGCAAAGGGTTAAAAACTGATCTTAAATACTTCTTAAAATTATATTAGGCAGGAAGTTCTATGTGGCTCACTAAAAATATATACAGAATAGGTGGCTAAACTTTAAAAATTCACAATGTAAATTCCTTCTAACCTACTTATAAACAAAAACCACAACAAAATGTGATACAAAGCTAGAATATACATATATTAAAAGATCTGAACTTATAAGAGTACTTGTCTGACAATCCGAGTATACAGAATACAGCGGAAATAGCAAAAGTCTTTTAAATAAACTAAAAAGATCTCAATAAGCCCGGGCACAAAAGCTCACTCATACTGCTGTGCTGTACTACAGTGCAGATGCATCTATTATACCATCTTGGTCATCTGACTTTCTAATCCAGGGTTAAATTAGATGAGAAGGAAGCATCCCTGAGAGCAACTACTAAAAGGTGGACAAAGAAACAAATATGGAATGCTTATTATCTGCAAAAAAATCTTGAAAGACTCATTCATTCAACAAATATGTATTCGTGCTCATGATGTTACTCTTACTGCTAGGAAAATAGCAGGTAATAAGACAAATAAACAAAAAAGCCCTACTCTTATGGAGTTTACTTTTTCATCCAGGAAGACAGATAATAAACAAGTTTAAAAAATAAATAAAATATCACACTTGTTATTTCACTTGATCCTCATAAGGTGCCAGGATGCATACTGTTCTCATTTCAACTGTGACTTATAAAATTGCCTAAAATCACAATGCTACCAAGTAGCAGAGTTGGGATTGATCCCAGAACTGATTCCACAGTGATATTCTTAATAGTGTGTTCTCTTCATAGCATTTTATCAGGGTAAAAAATTACATTTATTTGTACAATTATTCAGTTGATATCATTTTTCCCTACAAACTAGATTCTATTCCACAAGGACAGAGACCATAATTTTTTCTTCAACATTGCAAAGACGGTATATGCTTATATATGCTGTGCTCAATCCAAAGCCTAATGCACTGAAGTTGCTCAGTAGGAATTTGTTAACTATTAGGTGAATTATTTTACAGACATACAACTATTAATAGCTCCTGAGGATGTGGTCATAGTGATGAGCCTGAGTTACCAAAAAAATTATTAGCACTAGAAAATATTTTAGAAAATATTTGTAT